GCACTCCCTTCTTGATTTTAAACCATGTAGTGTCCCCTTGTTCTGTTCAAACGACAGCCTCCTGGTCAAGGTACAGATTCCTCATGAGTACAATCAAGTGCTCGGGGATTCCCAGTCTTCTCAAAGTTGTCCATAATTTGTCATGATCCACACAATCAAATTCCTGCTGGCACCCCTGAAACTATGGCCCCTACCTGCCCTTCAGGTCTGGAATTGAACCTACCCCTATGGCTTCCAGCCAAACAAAAGACAGGCATATGAGCTGAACATTTAGGTAGATACACTCTTTGGAGAGATCAATCATGGGAGAACAGAAGGGCTATGTATGCACAGGGAGACAGCTCAGGGGGCAGTAATGCATGGGAGGAACACAGGGAAGAGGTAATTATAGGGAGGAAGTAGGAAGCAAGCTGTTGCATTGTGGGAAATTGCAGTCAATGTCATGAGACAAAGTGTATGTAAGCTGCTATATGGAAAATGAATGTGCTCTGTAAAGTTTCACCCAAATCACAATAAAAATTAAAAGAAAGAAAGAAAATGCATGTCCCTCAACCAAAAGTGATCAAGCATTTCAAGAGGTGACGGCAGAGCATTCAACCAAACTTAGGGTCCCCAAGGATACCACCCAAGGGGCACCTTAGGATGACAAGCAGTACCCCATCCATCACTGTGATTCCTAAGACTATGGTGACACCCACTGTGTGGGAACATCCTAGCTGCACGTAGATGCTGAGACATCAGGAAACGTGAGCCATATCAATCACAGCAGTTCCCATCTGGGGGCATTTTGTCTGAAGTAGGACAAGTGGTAAATGTCTAGAGACATTTTCAGTTGTCACAATTAGGGAGTGCACCTGGAAGCTGGTGGATACAAGCCAGGGGTTCTGCTAAACATCTTACAGTGTACAGAACAGCCCCCAATAGCAAAAAATGATGCTAGCCAAAATGTCGTAGTGCTGCAGTTGAGAATCCTGATCTAGAGGCTGCATCACAGCACAGCCCAGGCCTTCTGCAGAATGCTCTCTCCCGTGGCACCTACCATGGAATACAGGAGCCTCATGTGGTTCAGGAGCTGGGGGTCCTCGTGACTGAGCTCCTTGAAGTCCATTTTCACCAGCACTGTCACATTGTACCAGAAATTCATCAAGTTCTTCTCCAGAGCTTCATGAAGGAAAATGCTGATGGTTAGAAGCCCTGAGATGAGGCAGTGCCCTCTAGAGGCCCCCAGAGTGGGGACGGAAGGAGGCTGTGGCCTGCCCAGCAAGAGGCTATACTTCTCTACTGGAAGAAACCTGACCTTGTGAGAAGCTCCACCCCTGCAACCCCACCCCCACCCCCATCCCTGGTTTCCACCCCTCTGATTCCTGAAGATCATTGGAGACCACTGGCCCTGGCCTGGAACTCATAGGGATGGACCTTTCCTTTTGATATATGACCTATGATATATATTCAGATAATATTTAATAATTTATATATGCACTAATGTTCAATAATTTAAATATTATAAATATTTTCTAATTCAAATATTATAAGTAATATCCAATAAGTTAGATATTATAAATAATACTCAATAATTTGAATATTCCCCTGTGGTAGTTAAGCTTGTATGTTAGTTTGGTTGGGCCTGGCTGAGCAGCTGGGCAGCTAAATGTAGTTACTCCCCATGGTGAGATTGGTAATTAACTCCATGGTGGAATCTACTGGAGCAGCTAAGTAGCTGCTTCAGGGATGTGGTCTGCTTCCAGTCTATCTGAAGCAGCTTTGAGGAAGGTTTCCAGCTTTTTGGCACGCTTGAACTCTGCGTGTAGCCAAGTTGTTGTTCAACAGCCTGCTATGCCCTGCTGATCTTGGGACTTCTTTGGGACTTGAATTAGTGACCTGCCATGTTGTTTGGTAACTCTGGGACTGTGCCTTTTTACTTGTCAACCTTGGGTTTGTCAGTCTCAGCAGCCAGCAGCTGCCTGAGAGAAGAAAAGCCTCCAGCTTCAGTGGGCTGGGAACAAGAGGCAGAGCTGAAGCCCAAGGTTGAGGGGCTTTCACCCAGCCCCTGGAGCTTGGCACTTTTGAACTTGGACTTTTACCTTCCAAAAATTATAATAAACTCCTGTATGTTAAAGCCATCCTATTTGTGGCATTTTCCTGTCAGAGAAGTACAAGGTAACCAAAACAGCCACCATATTTAATAACTGAAAATTTACAAATAATATTCAATAATTTAAATAGTATTAAAAAAAAAAAAAAAAACCTCACTGTTGTCGAGTCGGATCTGACTCACAGCGACCCCTTCTTGGGTTTCAAAGGCAGTATCTCTTGGAAGTAGATTGCCCAATCTTCCTTCTGAGGAGTGGCTGGTGGGTTTGAACCACCAGTCTTCTGATTAGCAGTCAAATGCCTTAGGCATTATGCCATCAGAGCTATTTTAAATAATCTCTGATAATTTAACTATACTTAGTAACTATAATATTTTAATAACTATGTTGTTGTTAGGTGCTGTCAAGTTGACTCTGACTCACAGCAACCATAAATGACAGAGCAGAACTGCCCCCTAGGGTTTTCTGGGCTGTAATCTTTACAGGAGCAGATTGCTGTCTTTCTCCAGTAGAGATACCAGGTGGGTTAAAATTGCCAACCTTTCACTTGGAAGCCAGGCACTTAATCATTGTACCATCAGGGCTCCTTTTAATATTATAAATAGTATCTAATAATTTGAATATTACAAATGATACCTGACAGTTTAAATATTATAAATGTTTAATTTTAAACTTTATATTTTCAATAAGCATTTATATCACTACATATTATATGTTCTTCCCTCTAACCATTGGTTCTGAACAATGATGACCCATTGTCCTGGGTGCAGCCCTTGCCTGAAAGGCACAACATTCCAGACCAGACAGTCACACAGGCAGCCAGCCAGGACTTTAGGCCTCACTATAGGAGTCATGGGCTTTGCACCTTTCCCATGACCACATATTCAGATTCCAACAAATCCCCTTGAGCTTCCTGGGTCTCCCCTGGGAAAACGGGAGGAATTTGGATTATTCCTCTTCTAGGAGTGTTTCCCTTCTCTGGGCCACCTAAGTAGCCATCAGCCCCCTTGTTTCCCTGAAATTTCAGTGACCAGATGTTATAAACCGAAAAAGAAAAAAAAAAAAAAGTGCTCGGAATCAGAATAAACACAGCTGCAGCACCAGTGAAATCTGCTGCTTTTGGAACCCTCCTGCTGATCCTCCAGTCACCATATGTTCTCCACTCCCCATCTGTGGTGGTTAAATTTGTGTGTCAATTTGGCTGGGCCTGGTTGAGTGGCTGGGCAGCTGGATGTAGTATTCCCCATGATGAGACTGGTAATCAAGTCCATGACAGAATCTACTATGATCAGCTGAGTAGCTGCTTTTGGGTATGTGGTCTGCTTCCCATATGTAAGAAACAGCTTTGGGACTGATTTCTAGCTTATGGCACACTTGAACCCTGCATGTAGCCATGTCGTTGTTCAGCAGCCTGCCATGCTCTGCTGATCCTGGGACTTTCAATGGACTAGAATCAATGACCTGCCATGTTGTTTGGTAACTGTGCCATTTCAGTGTCAATCTTGGGCTTGTTAGCCTCAGCAGCCAGTAACTGCCTGAGTGAAGAGATGCCTCCAACTTCAGTGGGCCGGGAGCAAGAGGCAGAGCTAAAGCCCAAAGTCAAGGGGCTTTTACCCAGCCCCTAGAGCCTGGCACTTTGAACTTGGACTTAAAGCCTCTAAACTGTAAGAAAATAAACTCTTATTTCTTCAAGCCCTCCACATTTGTAGTATATTCTTGTCAGAGTGGCACTAGGTAACCAAAATACCATCTCATGGGAACCTCCTCCCTGAGCCCTCAGGCAACAATGACTGTGGCTTACCTAGGGGCAGAGGGTCCATGCAGTAGAGGCTCCCAGACCAGCGGCAGCACTTCTGAAGTCCAGGGCAGTCAGTGTCCAGGGTGCAGGATGAGGTAGACAGCCCTGGTCCTGCTGCAGGGCAGATGCCAGGCTTTGATGCAAACTCCTCAGACTGGTTCAGGGCTGGGGGACAACACAGTGAATGATGCTGAGAACCTTCCTGCATCGGGCCTATCTATGGTGCCTAGAGGGGGTATGTGGGGTCTCCAGATTGGGCAGCCCTTGACACAACATCCTGCCCAGCAGCCCCCAGGCCCTGTTGGCTTTGTCTTTAGTATAGTGTGGCCATCTCTTTTTGAAGGTGGACAGTTTCAGCTGAAATCTTAGTGGTCCCTTTCCCTCTAGGTCTTAGGAGCCTAGGTGCAGGGAGATCCAAACCCCCTGAAAGATCCCTTGCTGCTTTACTTCCTTATCCCTTACTCATTCTTTTCTTACTCATTCATCCAATAAACACTTAGAGAGTACCTGCTCTGTGCACAGTGCCTGGGACCCCGCATGGGGCAAGCAACACCCTGCCTCAGGAAGCTGAGATTCCAGCAGGGAGAGACAAATGTGCAAACACACAGAGAACATCAGAGGGGCTGTTGTTGTTGTTCTTGTTCTTGTTGTTGTTATGTGCCATTCAGTCAGACCCGACTCATAGAGACCCCTCCTTGGGTTTCCAAGGCAGTATCACTATGGAAGTAGATTGCCCTATCTTCCTTCCGAGGAGTGTATGGTGGGTTTGAACCGCCAGCTTTCTGGTTAGCAGTCAAGTGCCTTAGGCACTATGCTACCAGAGCCCCGTAAGGCTATGCAAAATAAAGCAGGTCAGGGTGAGTAGTCAGGAGAGGGCTACCAGGAGAGGTAACCTCTTCCTGGACCTGGGGATAGAAGGAGCAGCCAAGCAAACATTAGCCTTGATTCCATGAGGCTTCTTCTTCTTCCAATGTTGTCTTTAGGTCACTCTTACTAATCATCTGGTGGCCGCCCCAATGCCTGAAGGTCCTAGAGAAATCATGGGACAGGGAAGGGAGCTTGGGGTGTGAAACATGGTGCAGCGCAAGAGAGTGGCTTGACGCCAGGACACCTGGAGGACTGCAATCAAGACTCTAAAGGTCATTGCTTCACCTCCCACTGCAAAATATGGCCTCCAGGGTAGGAGACATAATGACTTGATATAATGTAGAATCATTAGTAGAAAGAGAGTAAAATCTAAATGGAGTGTAGAATATGATTAGCAGTAAAGAGCCCTGGGTGCTTGGGAGCTCTGGTAGCATAGTGCCTAAGGCACTTGACTGCTAACCAGAAGGCTGGCAGTTCAAACCCACCATACACTCCTCAGCAGGAAGATGGGGCAATCTACTTCCATAGTGATACTGCCTTGGAAACCCAAGGAGGGACTACTATGAGTCAGGTCTGACTCCACTCTATGGAAGAAAAGACCTGGTGATCTGCTCTGGTAAAGATTACTGAGAAACCAAACCCATTGCTGTGGAGCCTATTCTGATTCATAGAGACCCTGTAGGACAGAGTGGAACTGCCCCATAGGATTTCCAAGGCTGTACATCTTTGCAGAAGCAGACTGTCACATCTTTTTCTTGTTGAACTTTTGGATAGCAGATGAGCACTTTAACCACTGCACCACCAGGGCTCCTCCCATAAAGATTAGAGTTTAGGAAACCCTACAAGGCATTCTACCCTATCCTATAGGGTCACTATGATTTGGAATTGACCTGATGGCACACAACAACACTGTGCCAGTGTTGGCTCCTTAGTTGTAACAAATGTACCACAGTAATGTAAGTTTCTGTGTTAGAATTCTTGCCCTCCATGTGGGAGACTGGGGTTCCATTCCTGGCCAATACACATCATGTGCAGCAACCACCCATCTGTCAGTGGAGGTTTGTGCGTGGCTACAATGCTGACTGGATTTCAGTGCAGCTTTCAGACTAAGAATGGACTAGGAAGAAAGGTCTGGTAATTTACTTCCAAAAATCACAAAAGTTCTATCTGCAACTGATTATGAGGGTGGCACAGGACTGGGCACTGTTTCTTTCCATTGTGCATGGGGTTGCCATGAGTCAGGAGAGCAGCTAACAACAATGAAAGATCTTAGCATTAGGGGAATCTGAGTGAGGAGTATATAGGAACTACCTGTATTATCTCTGCAACTTTTCTATAAATCTAAAACTACTCTACAAGTTTTATCTAAATTAAGTGAAGCTACAAATAAAAAAGTTGATGCTTCAGAACATCTCTTGTAGGTGCCTTATTACCGATTTATGAATGATGACGCTGTTTGAAAGGATTGCTTGGAGTTTATGCTGAAAATGTGTAATCTTTTTCAGTAGAGGAGTTGGGGAGGATAATTTTCCAGTGGTTGTTTGTTTTAGTTCTTTTCACAAAAACAATGTCAACTGGAAAAGAAAGAAGGAAGGAAGGAAAGAATGGAGGGAGAGAAGGAGGGAGGAAGAAAGGGAGGGAGGGAGGGAGAAAGAAAGCAAGGAAGGAAGGGAGAAATACAAGCCACGAAAACTGAGAAAAAGGTTTCCAAAAATACTTGCTTAACCCTAACACAAGGATTTTCAAGTTATAGTTCATCATCTTAATTTGATTGCTGCTGGGAAACCCCCTCCATCACTCAGGGCCTTCCAGTTACTAAGTGTCCTAAGAGAATTACCAACAATTCCTTTTGGTAGAAAGTCAAAACCCTACCTCTCCTCCCCTTGACTCACACAAACAATGAAACAGAGTGGCCCATTGCCTGGCAACCCAAGGTTAGTCCCAGTTCAGTGAAGCAACAGCAGAAGTTTCTGAGCAAAAGCATCAAAGGCTCCCTGGGGCCAGGAATCTGATTGGCTCAGGAATAATGGCCCCTGAGCCCATGAGGTTTGGTGAGGGTAACAAGCACCCAGGGGCAATCTCTAAATTGGGCCTCCCTAACTACTCAGTTTCAAGATGAACAGACATTGATAATAGCAAGTCATAGCAGCAAGTCAGCAGAAATGCCTTCATCCCTCTTGTCCAGCTGTCTCAGTCAAGCACGTTTCATATTTGTGGTGCCTGGGAATGTCATTTTGCACATTGTCATATCATTCTGCACCTCCTCTGGAGCCCCGTTGGATTTGTGCCTTGGGGCAAGTGCCCACTGCCCTACCCCCCTGTATCTCTTCATCTACCATGTTTAAGAAAGGATGTTGGGCTGAACTGAGTTACTAGAAACTGCTCAATGGCACTCCCCTTCAAGAGGTGCCTAGGATATGTGCCATACCTGCCATAATTTAGATACACCTCTGCCCAAGCCTGTAATATACTGGTCATGCTGTCAGAAGGGAGCATTCCCTGGAGAAGGGTATCATGCTTGGTAAAACTGAAGGTCAGCCAAAAAGAGGAAGACCTTCAACGAGATAGACTGACACAGTGGCTGCAACAATGAACTCAGCCATAGCAAGTGTTATGAGGCTGACGCAGGACCCAGAAGTGTTTCGTTCTGTTGTATATAAGGTCACTATATGAGTTGGAGCCAACTCGATGGTACCTAACAACAACTATAACTGTCCGAGCCCTTCCCTTTCCTTGACATTTCTCTGTGGTCACAACTGGGGGTTCTCACTAAAAGGTCCCTGATCCTCAACATGGGAGAATCAGAGGCTTGTGCATAGGCACCTGGTTAATTGGAAGTACTGGACTTCCAATGAGGAAGAATGTGCTAGAATGTTGACCCCATGGAGAAGGTAGATGGTGGGAAAGCTAGGATATTATGGATTGAATTCTGTCTCCCAAAATATATGTAGGAATTCTTACCTCTATACCTATGGATAAGGAGCTCTGGTGGTGCAACTCTTAAGTGCTTGGCTGTTAACCAAAAGGTTGGCTATTTGAACTTACTCTGTGGCCCTGTGGGAAAAAGACCTAGCAACTGCTTCCATAAAGATTTTAACCTAGGAAACCCTATGGTGCAGTTCTACTCTTTCACATAAGGTTGCCATGACTTTAAATTGTTTCAATGGCACACAACATGTGTGACACAGTGGTTATGCACTTGGCTGCTAATACAAGAGTCATCAGTTCAAACCCACAAGCCACTATGGGGGGAGGAAGATGTGGCCATATGCTTCCATAAAGATGATAGCCTTAGAAACCTGTAGGGCAGTTCTACTCTGACCTATAGGGTCAATGTGAGTCAGAATAGAATCAACTCGACAGATGTGATCTTATGTGGAAATAGGGTTTTCTCTGTTATAGTGAGGCCATATTAGTGTAGAGTGTGTCCTAAATCTAATCACTTCTGAGTTTTAAAAAAATGCAGATTAAACACAGAAGCAAGCACAATTTCAAGGAGCTCTGGTAGCATAGTGGCTAAGACACTTGCCTGCTAACCAGATGGCTGGTGGTTCAAACCCACCAGCCACTCCTCGGAAGGAAGGTTGGGCAATCCTACTTCCGTAGTGATACTGCCTCGGAAACCCAAGGAGGGGTCGCTATGAGTCGGGGCTGACTCGACGGCACATAACAACAACAACATTGTACATCACTGACTATGGAGCTGGGTAGAGAAGCTCACAGTTGGCCCTTACATGGGCAGGGGCCAGCTCTATCACTGGTTGTACCCTTTACCAGGCCGTGGCACCATGCAGGGATATTCCTGAGGAAGAGTTCCAGCATCCTCAGCACCCTTAAACATTCCTTCTCCTGCCCCCACCACTATGCCAACCCCACTTTAAAAAAAAAGAAAAAAAAAGAAAAAAAAAAAAAACAGTTGCCATGGAGTTGATTCTAACTCATGGAAACTTCATGTTGTCAGAGTAGAACTGTGCTCCACAGGGTCTTCAATGGCTGACTTTTCAGAAGTAGATTGTCAGCTTCTACTTTTGAGGCACCTCTGGATGAACTCAAACCTCCAACTTTTAGGTTAGCAACCAAGTCTTAACCATTGTTGTTGTTGTTGTTGCTATGTGCTGTGGAGTCAGCCCCAACTCATAGCAACCCCTCCTTGGGTTGCTGAGGCAGTATCACTATGGAAGTAGATTGCCCAACCTTCCTTCCGAGGAGTGGCTGGTGGGTTTGAACTGCCAGCCTCCTGGTTAGCAGTCAAGTACCTTAGGCACTATGCTACGAGAGCTCCTTTGCAAAATCCCAAAAAACTAAAACCAAAACCAAAATCCATTGCCATCGAGTTGACCCTAACTCATGGTACCCCCATATTGTCAAAGTTGAACTGCACTGAACAGGGTTGTTAGGGCTGAACATTCAGAAGTAAATCTCCAGTCCTATCTTGTGAACTGCCTCTGGGTGAACTCAAACCATCAACTTTTGTTATTAGTATCCAAGCACTTAACTAGGAGCTCTGGTGGCATAGTGCCTAAGGCATTTGACTGCTAACCAGAAAGCTGGCGGTTCAAACCCACCAGCTACTCCTCAGAAGGAAAATGGGGCAATCTACTTCCGTAGAGATATCACCACAGAAACCCAAGGAGGGGTCACTATCAGTTGGAATTGACTCAATAGCACGGAGTTTGGTTTTTGAAAGCACTTAACAATTTGCACCACCAAGGGGCCCTCACCCCTCAAATGTCACAAACCCCTGTACACCAAGGCGGAGCTTGGTGAGCTGCGAAAAATCTCAGACCGGGGAACAGAGAGACTCCAGTGCCTAGTGTGCTGCTCTCCGGAGGAGGTTCGATCATGGTTGAGTCCCCCAGCTGTCCCAGCTCGTGTCCCCTTGTGTCTGTAGAGCTGTGATGGCTCCCCTCCACCTATGACTAAGGGAAGGAGTGCCCTGCACAGCCTATTGCACAGGACTCCCTCAATCACTAAACATACACTTGCCCTCCTTCTCCTCCATTCCTTCTTCTCTCTTCCTGGGCTCTTGTCCACTACCTTCTACACTGCCATTAGAGTAACCCTTCCAAGACCCAGGGGAACCATGGTACACACACCTCTCTGGAGGGCCAAGGCTTTCAGGCACTCCCACCTTCCTCTGCAGTCCTGGAGCTCCCCCCTCCCCAGAACTCTCATTCCCAATATTTTCTCTCACCAAGTCCCCCTGCCTACTCCAATCACACCATTACTGCAGCTCCTAGAGCCAGGGTACCTTTCCTGCCCATGAGACTCTCTAACTAGAATGTTCTTGCTCACTCCTCTACCTGGAGAGCTCCTAATTAAAGATGTCCATGCTAAAATTAAGGCTGATGTCCACAAGAGGCATCTCCTGTGGCTTGTTTGTTGAGGAGAGAAGGATAGGGTGGGGAGGGCTCCCACCTCCCCCAGCCATCCCTGTCACAGAGCTGAAGGGCTGTTAACACCAAAGCAGCATATTTTACAGAAAGATCAGAGTCCTGTTGGAGTCCCTGGGTGTGGCAAATGATTAATTCATTTGGCTGCTAAGTGAGAGGTTGGAAGTTTGAGTCCACCCAGAGGGACCTCAGAAGATAGGCCTGGCATCTCCTTTTGAAAGATTAGCCACTGAACAACCTATATGCTCAGTTCTACTCTGACACAAAGGAATTTGTCTCAAGTTGGAGTTGACTCAATAGCAACTGGTACTGGTAAAAGTTTAGTGTAGGAGATGCTAGTGTGGTGTGGAGGTGCCAGGGTAGGATCAAGCCACTGATTAGCAAGTACTGAGGACTATATCCAGCCCTTTGGGCCAAGATCTAGTAGACCTGACACAGCCCGACAGCTGACAGGTAGGAAGAAGTGTGACTGCTCACACACAGGTGCCAGGTTGTGGAGAGCTGGACTGTGCCCTATGGCTGTCTGTCAACAAAGCCTGCACTCTTGCCATGGCCTGAGGCCACATCCACTTCTCAGCAAAAGAGGCTGCTCCCAAGGCACGGGGCAGCACAACAGTAGCCCAGGTTCTAGCCCCTCCTTTGTGTAGCCCTGAGGAGAAAAAAAGGGGATGTCTTGGACCCATTACCTGGAGCAGGCAGCAAGAGACAGAAGGTAGAGACTCAGGGGAGCATCTTCCCAAAAGCCTCTTTAGGGAACCATCAGGAATAGAGAACAGGTCAAGGCAATTGGATCTGGGGTCAAATGGCCTCCTCAACCAAAAAAGACAAACCCGTTGCCTCGGAGTCAACTCTGACTCACAGGGTTTTTAGCAACACCATGGGTTTCAGAGTAGAACTATGTTCCATAGAGGTTTCAATCACTGATTTCTTTTGGAAGTAGATCACCAGCTCTTTTTTTCGAGAAAACTCTGGGTGGACTTAAACTTCCACCTTTCCAGTTAGCAGCTGAAAAGTGGACTCCTCCCATCAAACTGCTTAAACCTGAGTCATCAGGCCATCCTGGGCCTGGCCCTCTCATGGGTTCAATAGAAAATTATCCTCACCTTTGTGCTCTGTGAAATATGCTCAAGGTGCCTCATTGTGCCAAGATGATGATGTCTGCGCTGACGCATGACTTGACAACTTGAACCCCAGGTTTGAGGAGGAGGGTGTACCCATGCCCTTGTCTGATACTGTCCTGACCTCAGGACACAGTGGACCATCTGGGACCCTGGACTGTCACCCCCAAAACTGGGCTTTCTGCTCTAGAGGCAGCAGCCCTCATGTCTTGGGATGGGACACTGACATCTCACTAAACCACCCTCTTCTCACTTCCCCTCCACCAAGGAGAGCACCTTTGGACTGAGAGCACAGCATTTTAGGTTTGGTGTTGACTCAAAATTAATAATCACCACCCCCTCCCACCAACACACATGTATAACATACACACACTTCCCTCTGAAAATGATTATCTATCTAGAAAGTTCCTTTTAAGACAAGACAGAGAAAGCCCAGATCCTTGCTCAGCCTGTCTAACTTATACACCAGCCCCAACAATCTTACAGGAAGCACCTTTCAAACTCACTGAGGACTTTGGTTCTGCCGAACCACCTGGGGTTTAAGGCACCCCTTCCATATTTTTCATTTATTGGGGTTCAGATGAGGATTTCACTTGATGAAATATTTTCCTGCCAGCATTTAAAAAGCAAGGCTTAACAGCACTGTAGAAGAGATTGTAACCCTGTACACAAACTGAGCTGCATATTGGAATCACTTAGGAGAGCTTTAAAAAAAAAAACAAAAAACCCACACCCAAGATAGATCCCAGACCAATTATGCCCAATCTCTAAGGGTAGGACCTAGACATTGGTGTTTCTAAGCTGCCCAGGGTTCTTCGATGTGAATCCAAGAACCACTGCTCCAGAAGAGAGGTTCTCAAAGGTGTCCACCTACCCACCCAGCAGCCTTAGCTTCCCCTGGGAACTCGTGAGAAATGCAAATTCTTGTATAGGTAGTCCCTGATTTATGACACATTTGAATTAGGAGGAACTACACTTACAACCACCTGCATTTTTTTTTTTAACATTTTATTGTTAGTAATATGCACTAAATACAAGGTGGCAACATATAATTTGCTGATGTTTTATCATTCTCAGATATTCACTTGCAGATGTTCAAAGACCAGATTTATAAAGACACCGATAATAAAAGGCAATAATGAAAACTTAGAAAAGAAAAAAGATGTATTCAACTTATGTCAGAAAAGACTTATGACAGAGTCATTAGACTGGAACCCCATTTGAATGGAATGGTACTACTTGTACTTCATCCCTAATCCACTCAACCAGAAATCTGGGTGTGGGGCCCAATAATCTATATTTTAGCACACCCTCCATGTGATCCTGATGCACACCCAAGTCTGAGAACCAGTGTTCTAGAAGGTTCTAGCATATTCCATGCTAATGAGTGTGAGTAATGACTATCCCAGTGACTCATCAAGAGTCCTCAGGGAAGGCAGCAAGCCAGGGCTCATCCTTACCCACCCCAACTCCAGGACTTACGTGGGACACAGTAGAGGCCAAGCTGTTCAAACCCTTGGCAGCAGTCAGTCACATTCCTGGTCTCAGGGACCTCCACCACCAGGTACTGTGTCCTGTAAACGATCTTGGAGCACTGCTGCCATGGGATCCACCCACCACAGGAAGTGTAGATCAAGGAGGACATCTGGAAGGACACTACCTTCTGGACATTTTGGGTCACTTGGTAGTTGCACAGCTGGTAGCTCAACAAGGAGAGGCCTTTTTCTAAGAGAGAGGAAGAGGGAAGTCAGTAAGGGAAGACTAAGAAGCCAAAGAAAGAAATAAGCACCAGAATCAACCAAGTCAATATGAATGGTTCACCTCCCCTTAATAAAAAATAAGAAGTACTTGGTAAACTATTCAGAACTTGCCCACTGGCCCTTTTTCTGGGACCTTTGTCTCTATGCACTCTGAGAATGTCATTGTATTAGTATAAACTAGAAAGAATAAAGCATAAAATGGACCTACATGCTAAGAAATCCTCTTTTGCAGAATGTGGAGCTACCACTCAGGGCCCAATTCATGCTTCTTGTGGCCAACCAGTTGTCATCTAGTTGACCCTGACTCATGGAGACCTCATGTGTGTCCGAGTAGAACTGTGCTCCATAGATTGTCAACAGATGATTTTTCAGAAGTAGATCACCAGGCCTTTCTTCTGAGGCATCTCTGGGGGGGGAGACCTGAACCACCAATATTTTGAATAGCAATTCAGCACATTCACCGTCTACACCCACGGACTCCTCTCCCAGCCTACTGACTGACAAAATGTTGAAAAAAGGACACAGACTTGAAACCAAAAACCCTGGGTCCCATGACCCTCTGCTTCCTGGGTTCCAATTTCACATCTCTTAATCTCTGTGAGCCTCAGACCTACCACCTGTGAAATGAATATGTAACAATCCCCTCAACAAATATCTCCCAGCTCAACTGCACACCAGGCATGGGGGACAATGAAACCTTTTTAGGAATGAGGTGAAAAATAAATCAATATTTAAAGCACATGTGAGAAGATTTATAGATGATGAAGTTCGGCTGGATGGTTGTTGTCATCAGAAAAGGAGGGTACAGCTGGCCCCCACCCTGCCATATAAGACAACCATCAAGTTCCCCTTACTCGGGGCCTAGGCATCTGTCATCTGGAAGCTCATTTCTTGTGCACTAACATCCATGCCCCCTTTATCAACGTGGTTACATGATTCCTAAGAACCCATGATACACACCACATTTACCAGCCCTGGACTCTTATGAACTGTCCCCTCATGGTTCCTGGGACTCTCCACTTCCCAGGGAGCTTCTGTTGCCTTCTGAGGCAGGAACTGTAGGTTGTTCTCTTCCTCCATCTTAGCACCTAGCAGAGGGTTATTTGCACACATGAGCTCTGTGTAGGATGTATGAATGGTGTTATGGGTTGACTAGTTTTCCCCAAAATTTATGTTGAGGTCCTAGCCCTGAACCTGTTATTGTGACCCTGTTGGAAAGTAGAGTTTTTCTTTTGTTATGTTAATGGGGTCATACCAGAATAGGGTGGGCACAAACCTAATCATTTCTGTGTTCTAAAAGAAGCAGAATAGACACAGACACATTCAGGAGGAAGACAGAATCCTTGTGACGATTCTTCTACAACCAAAGAAACACCAAGAACACAACCAAAGGAACACCAGTAACACCCAGGGCTACCCATAAGGAGGGATCCTCTACCGCATTTAACATCCTGATTTGGACTTCTAGTCTCCACAACTGGGAGACAATAAATTCTTGTTCTTTAAAACCACCCACCTGTGGTATTTTTTGTTACAGCAACGTTAGGAAACTAAGGCAAATGGTTTGAACATCTTACACATTTTCAGATATTCAACCTCAGAGCTCTGTTATGGATTGAATTGTGTTGCGTCTCCCCAAAATGCATGTTGGAAATCTAACCTCTGTATATACATTAATGCAATGTGTTGTTTTTAGGTGCTGTCCAGTTGGCTCTAATTCATAATGACTCCATATGCAACAGAATGAAACACTGCCCAGTCCTGCACCATCCTCACAATACTTGCTCTGCTTGAGCCTATCATTGCAGCCACTGTGTCAGTCCATCTCATTGAAGGTCTTCCCCTATTTATCAAGCATGATATCTTTCTCCAGGGACTGGTCCCTCCTGACAACATAACCAAAGTAGGTGAGACGAGGTATGGCCATTCTCACTTCTGAGGAGATTCCACCTGTACTTCTTCCAGGACAGATTTGCAATGTAAGGTAATGCAATCACCTTCCACAATGTAATCTAATGTAATATAATTACTCAGTCAGTTGAGTTCATAAGGAGGGATCCTCTACAGAAGGGTGGAGCCTAAACCAAATCACACCTCAGTTATAGAAAGAACAAACTATACTTAGAGACATGCACTCTTATAGAAAGAACAAACTATACTTAGAGACATGTACTCACACAGGGAGATAGATACCTTGGGAGAATCTCCAAGGAACCAAGGAATGTCTGAAGCCACTTACAAGGAAAGAATCAGGGCCGAGACTCTGATTAGTACATCTAGTGTCTGGAATTGGGAGAAAATAAATTTCTGTTCTTTAAAGTCACCTACTAGTAGTATTTGTGTTATACCAGCACTAGGAGACTAAAACAAGCTCTAAGGTATTCTAGATTATGCATCCTGTGTGGAGGGACTCGGTAATAGAGTTTATACTCCCAGTGAGTCACTGGATTTCTGTGGGAGGAACTCAGAAGTGACATTAGAAATAATAACCACAGTAACTAACAGCAGTTCCTTCATCCCTTCCCCCAGAACAAGAGCTCTGAAGATTCCATCTTTTTACTTCACAACAACCCCACAGGTAAGTGAGCCCCCTGCCCCCTACCCCATCTATTCACAGGAACAAAAACCTGGAGCATTGTTATTCCTCAGGGGCTCCAGGTAGAAAATGTAAGGGTGAGCACTCCATCCCAGGGGAAAAGAGAGACCACACTGGGCAAAATGCAAGAGTCATACACTTGCCCAAGTGAGCATGTTGCACAAGCAACAACACCATAAGCATGGACTCCCAGGGATGGCTGCAGTCCAAACACCTGGTGGGTCAGCAGGGACTCTCTGGGGGTACAACCTGCTGTCGTTTGCACCAGTAGGACAGTTACAGGAAGCTTTGGGAAGAAAGGAGAGGCTCCTCAGTACGTGGGTGGAGGGAAGAGAAATCTGCTTCCTCAGAGCACAGCACAGCCTGGTAAAGAGCTCAACAGTGGCTGCATGGGGCTGGAGAAAATGGGCATAATGAATGTGGTTACCACTTTAGTGGCCACAGAGAACAAGGCAAAGCTCCAAGGATATCAGCATAGAAAATCCAGCAAGCTAGAAGTGAATGTTGTTTTGTTCTTTATCTTAATTTGAGATGAGGTGCCAAGCACGTTAATGAAAGTTACAGTTCCTAACCTCTAGAAAGCCACCGTGGCTCCACAAGGTTCCATCTGATCACTAGCAGAGCCCTCCTCCAGACACACATGCACACACACATGCACATGTACATACATGTGTGTATACACATACATGCACTCACACACATACACACTCATGCACATGCTTACATATAAACACACAAGCAAACATACACACTCACACACATGCACACAAATACCAACAATACATACCCATACAAACATGTATAATATATGAATATACACACAACACAGATATGCACACATGTGCACATACACAGGCAATCTATGTTCACACACATACACACTCATACACATGCACAAACATGTGAACATGTTCTCACTCACATGCACACACACACACACACGTGTCTCCTGTGAAGCTGCACTTCGGATCTATTTGACTCTGTTTTTCACATTCTGCTGTGGCTAGACTGTCCTCTCCAGACTTGACTTATTGGCAGAGCTCAGATCCTACCACTCAGCCAATTCCTTTAAGAACCATCAAAGCAAAGTTGAGGTCCTGGGTTCTAGAGCCAGGGATGGGAGAGCTTGAGGAAGTGTGGGCTCTGGGGAAGACAGACCCACATCTACGCACAGCTGCCAAATGCCAGCTATGTGACTCTGAACACTTTCATGGCTTCTCACTGCCCTATCTTGTCATTTTTGTATAGTAACTGTGCTCTGAGGTTGCAGAACTAAATGAAATCAAAGCAGCTATTCCTGGCACAAAGTGAGAATTCAACAAAGATGCTAAGGCTCCCAGAGCTGAGCACAAGTAGCTATGCAACAACCGTGATAAATCCTAGAGATTTTCTGTTACCCACCATGGACAATGGTGCCATGGACAATGACAGCCAATAGTCACCTACCAAGACCTCTTCTAGTTTTGTGATACCTGCAATTGAGCTGTGTGCTTTGCACATTATCCATTTCAAGTGAAAAATTAAGTAAAAAAAATCAGAACTCATCCAAAATCCTGTTTATGGACAAATGTTAAACTGGTACAAAGATGAAGCTGATTTTAGAAACAGAATGGATCTCTTTAAATTCCCAACTGAGAAGTTTTTAAGAGGAAAATGATTAAAAGGAGATTTGTGATGTCAAATCCCTGACATCTTGAGTTTCAGGAGTTTAGCAAGTTTTTTAGCAACTACTACTGGCTAAGGCACTTGACTGCTAACCAGAGGCTGGCGGTTCAAACTCACCAGTCACTCCTCAGAAGGAAGATGGGGCAATCTGCTTCCATAGTGATACTGCCTTGGAAACCCAAGGAGGGGTCGCTATGAGTCAGGTCTTACTCGACAGCACATAACAACAACAACCACACGTTAAAAGGAGCTCTGGTGGCATTGTGGTTAAAGCATTGGGCTGCTAACCAAAGGTTAATAATTGAACACATCAGCTGCTCCATGGGAGAATGATGAGGCAGTCTGCTTCTGTAAAGGCTACAGTTTTGGAAACCCTATGGGGCAGTTCTACTCTGTCCTACAGGGTCACTATGAGTCATAATCAACTCAATAGCAATGGGTTTGATTTTAGTACTGTGTTAACTACATGTCTCCCTAACCCTTTAGGTGTGTGACCACATGGAGCTACTCACTCCCCCATCAGCATTTTCATCCCCATTTTGCTAAAGAGAAAACCAAGACCAGCAGAGCCAGAGTTGTGCATCTAGTGAGTGGGGAAGCTGGATATTAGGAGTCCACTTCAGAACCCTTCCTCCACAAAGGGAGAAAGAAAGTCCAAGCCAGAAGTCAGAGGGTCAGGTCTCCCCAGTTGTAATTCTGCCCTTGGTATGTCACCCTGGCTGGGCCCTGCCCCTTGGGTTCTCTGTTTCTATACATTGTGGGTTTTAACCTCTGAAAGTTCAGGAGAGCTAGGATTCTGGGTCTCCAGAAGCTTGTTACTCTCAGTGTGGTCCAAGGACCTGCAGCATCAGCATCTCTGGAAGAAAAGCAGAGTTCTGGGTCTCACCTGACTCACCTGCTGACTCAGAATCTGCATTTTCACCCCATCATCTCCTAGGTTACCTCACACTGGAGGCACCTTCCTCCTAAAAGCCAACCCAATGCTCTTTTCCCCCTTTGAAGCCTGCTGTTGTTTATGTAGTGCACCTCTTTTTTGGTCACAAGGAAGTTTGGCCAAGGAGGAATGTTACCTCTTCTCAAATACTGTGACTCAACAAGGTTCCATCTGAGCATTAGCAGAGACATCCTCCAGACACACTCATATACTCATGCACACACATGTACACATATACTTGCACATAAGCATACACAAGCACACAATATAATATATGCACATACACACAACATACACTCATGTGTGTTGTTGTTATGTGCCGTCGAGTCAGACCTGACTCATAGTGACCCCTCCTTGTGTTACCAAGGTAGTATCACTACATAAGTAGATGGCCCAACCTTCCTTCCAAGGAGTGGCTGGTGTGTTTGAACTGCCAGCCTTCTGGATAGCAGTCAAGTGCCTTAGGCACTATGCTACCAGAGCTCCTACAATCATGTGTAGGTATGCATATTCACACAAGTATACAGAAAAACACATGCATGCATGCATACACTTATACACACAATGCACACGCATACCCATTCAACACACAAGTGCAAAGTCACCCATTCCTCAAGAACCACCTACACCAGCCCAAGCCCCCTCACCTGTGAAGCCATTGGCCTGGATTGGGCCCACAGCACTGAGCAGCATTAGCAGGGGCAGCCTGAGGGTCCTGAGCATGGTCTGGGGCTGTGTCGGCTCCAGCCCTCCACACAGTGGTCTCAGCCCCTCCTAAGCAGGAGCACGGAGGCCTGAGCTGCCACCAGCTGGAGAAAGGGCCCTTGTGTTCCCTATGCCGCTACCAGTGGCAGTGGCTTCAGAGGGAGCGCTCACTGGAACAGCCCCTTATGCCAGCTCATTAACGCCTGCCACTGCCACAGCCACATCCCTCGGGGCACCTGCAGGTCACAGTCTATTCTCATTCCACACAGATGGCATCTTTTAGGAAAGGTGAGTACCCCACGGCCCAGGCCCCATCATGAGATCCCATCTCATGGTTACGCAAAAAACACATTTCAGACCCAAATCTGACTCCCTCCATCAAGTGCAAAGTATTCTCTTACCCAATAGTTTCAAACCAGCACAAGAAAACAGCATCAAATCAAAGTGGTACATCAGACTCATAAAAGCACCTTCAAACAGTGGGCCAGTGCAGCTCAAGAGCCATAAAGATGTTCATATGCCTGACCCAGTAATCTTCTCCTGAGGACAGATCTGAGGGCAACACAATGGGAATCACAGACATGTTCACCCTTCACCATGATTTGAAATTGGAAATTGCATAATTGAACAACTACAGGAGAATGGGTAAGTCAATTGTTACACAGCATCTGGATGTAATATTGCAGACATTGAGACAATCATCGCCAAGACTTGGTAACAGCATGTGAAAAACATTTGACAGTGTAAGGTCAAATGAAATGACTGTAGGGAAAAAAAGGGAAATATTTTTAGCAGATGATAGGATTACAGGTGATTTGCTTTTTATTTTGATTGATATCAGATGTCATGTGAAATGGATTTTTAAATTTCATTCCAAATAGTTTTATAGTTCATGATACCTCCTTGCTACTTTGTTGGCACAACTATGATGAATAATAGACACTCATATATGCACACTTGCACACTCACCTACACAAACTCACACACTCATATGGG